AAATATTTTGAGGATGAGCTTTTACAATAATATTATTTTACAGAATGAAAACATTCTTGATAGCTGGGAGGAGGCTAATAAGCATTAATACTTGATGGCCAGCACTTGACTTTAGCAAGAAATTATTGGCCAATATCTTTATTGAATAATGACTATAAATTGTCCAATTGTACAAAACTTTATATTCATGAAGATCAATGTGTGTTTTTATCTAAAAGACAATTACAAGATAATATTAGAAATATTTTGGATATGCTGAAGTATTTGGAGTAACAAAAAAAAATAAGCTGCATTGAAATTCTTAAGACGCAGAGAAGGCCTTTGACAATTTGAATTGGTTGTTGTTTTTTTTGTTTCCAAGAGTCCTGGAATGAATCTTGGAGATCATTTTATTAAATGGATAAGATTTACCTATTTAATCAGAAATAATTGTAATGAAGAACTAACAAAAGCTTTTGAGATTCAAAAAGGGACAAGACAAGGATGCCATTGTCTCTAGTCTTGTTCATTTTAGTTCCTGACTAGTATTGAATAGAGAGAGACATAGGACAAGATCAAAGAGTCAAGGGAATTAAGAAACTTCTAAGTTAAGGGTGTTTATGGATGAATTAACATTAGTTTTGGAAGAACTACCTAGAGAGAGTAGAAACATTAATGGAAAAACTAAAGGACTTTTGTTTGCTAACAGGTTTTAAGATTAGTGATCATAAATCAAAGATGTTAACAAAAATTATGAAATTAGAAAGTTACCAATAGAATTGAGGGGAGAAAATTGGTATTAAAATTGAGAAAAATGTTAAGTGGGTATTATTATAACAAATATCAATTGCATATTATTTCAAACTAACTGTTAAGACATGAAATTAAGAAGGCTATGTTAAGATGAGAGAAATTAAATTTGTCATTATTAGGGAGAATTTCTCTGCTAAAAATCAGTGTACCATAAAAAATGAAAAAACATGCTTAACATACAACTTTAGATATAAGTTAAATATCAGGTGTTACAAGATGCAAAGCAAAGAGGAGCAGTGGGGTTACTGGATTGGAAAACGTATTTTGCAGCTTGTTGTTTGGTTTGATGAAGGAATGGATGTTGCTGTGAAACAAGCAACTTTTAAAGTTATAAGATCATAACCGGGGATTAGGATGGTATGAATACTTATGGCATAATAAAAGTAATGTTGATTTTAAAAATCATTTTATTGGATGTGCCATATTGAGAATATGGAATAGATATGGACCCGGGTTGCGTCTGAAACATCTCTGTGGATCTCAGCACAAGAAGCATCCAAAGGCAAATGGGTGATAGAAAAATTCAGTGAAATATAAGATTAAATCAAGAGAACAACTATAGCAGAAAAATACAGTTATCAATTGTTTTCCCATTTATAGTTATCAGAAAGATTCAAAATGGATAAAAAAGACTTACGGTATGGAGCAAAATTAGGCAGAATTTGAAATATAATTTGAGTCAACCTGTTATGGTCAAATGTTGGGACAACCTGATTTTATTATCTTTTTATGGTGATTATTAAGCACTGTGGTCATTAAGTGGATCGCATTATCAGTTTTGCCTAAAACCAGAAGTAAATGTCGTTGTATTGCCCAATGTCTAAAGTGCGGTCATGAGACCATGGGGATGGGTGACCATCAGAACTTCAGGATTGGGTCACAACTCCCATTTTCCATAACATTTCTTAATGTTAAATGGTCTCTTTATGACCGGTCCTAAGTCAAAGTACCACACGTAGAGAGATGGAAAGATTGGATGCTATCCACCATGGTGGAATAATGAAATTGACAAAACTTGCTATGGCAGACAAACTGAAGATATAAAATATGTAAACTATAATAATAAAATACCATTAATTAAAATATAATTGTATTTTTAACTGTGGTGAAGAATATCAGGAGCTACTTTCTTTGTAACTTTATAATCTTTAATTATTTTTCAGCTCTTTTATTTTCGTATTGCACTTTTCACTTTTTCTATTATTTCTTTCTTTTTGCCTCTCTGTTTTAATTTGGTTTGTATTTGTTCCTGTTATTGTTCTTCAAAGATTTAATAACAATTGTTTTAAAAAATCCCTAAACATTAATTGCTGCACTCAAGCTTTACAGTGACAACTAACCATTGTTCTCAGGATGGTAATGGGATAGTTTTGCATTCTTTTAATGCCCATTCCACAGAGTTTTCTGAAAAAATTAAACAAGGGACTTCCAAGCAGTTTCAGAGCTGAGGTGGTATTCTCTTTAGTGTGTTGCTACGAAAAGAGTATTCATGTCTACACTTTCCCATTCTCTCGAATCTCCCAGACAACAACAGGGTTTCTTTAAGTCTAGACAAGCAGAAGTCAGCCCAAGAATGATCCATCTGTTCCATTCTAGGATAGTAATAAATAAGGATTGTGTTGCTTCCATTGATAAAAATTTATGATATTGTTACACTCCCTGAATTCATTTTTGGAATGAGCAAATAAGGACCATTGAAGGAAGAATTGAACAACCCTAATATTTTGTTATCCTTTCTCGTTTTTATGATTTTTGTTGTTGTTATAATGGATCCATAGCCCAGTTCCATTTAATATGAATTGAAAAATAACTCCTACTGAGTTAAGAATAAATACATCTATTGTATCATATCCTTTCCTCAATTTCCTTTTCTTTGAAAAACTATCATATACAGCACTTAAAATACTTATTGGTTACTTACAGTGTTGCATGGAATGAACAAAATATGGATAGGTGAATATGTTGTTTTTTTAAATTCATTACATTCTACTTGCATTTTGGTAACTGTCAGTCATTAAACTACAATTTTAATTAAAATTAAGGTAAATTATATCTAAGTATATTTAAAAAAATAGTGACATATAGGATGCATCCCATCATTATTGCCTTATAAGTAACACAAGGCAATGAACATACAAAATGCCTTTTCTTCATGTTTTCCCTACAACAACAACCCTGTGAAGTGGGTTGGGCTGAGAGAGCAACTGGCTCAAAGTCACCTAGCCGGTTTTTATGGCCAAGGTAGGACTAGAAGTTTTAGCCTCCTGGTTTCTAGACCAGCTCCTTAACTACTACACCAAACTGGCTCTGGTCAGACTGCATCTATCCAGAGGATTTTAAAGCAATGAAAGAGACATTTCCCACATGAATCTGTATTTTCTATGGTAAATAAGATCAGTGTAAATATGTACTTTGCAATGATTCTCCTTCCTTATGTCAGTGTTGTTAGGAGACCCCTACAACGGGATTTGATCCATCACCGCTTCTTTTTAACTTTTACCTAAAACTACCAGGGGAGGTCATCTGATGGCCTGGGATGCAGTATCATCAATACACTGATGATATCCATACATCTTCAACCCTTGCCAGACAGGTGATGCTCTTGCAGTTCTGGTCGAGTGTCAGGAGCCTGTAAGGGTCTGGGTGTGGAGGAACTGGCTTTGATTCAACCCTGGCAAGATACAACGGCTATGGGGTTTTGACCCTCCAAGCTCAAATGATAGGCTATCTTTGATTTTGGAAGGGATGTTACTCCTCTGGACTGAGCTGGTGCATGATTTGGAGGTCCTACCATGTTTCCACAAAAATAAGACGGTCTTATTTTCTTTTGACCCCCAAAATAAGCACTTGGCCGTATTTTCAGGGAAGTCTTATTATTTTTGAGGTGCAGGAGGTGGCTGCTGCTGTGTTGCAATATTTGGGGGGAGGGCTTCTTTTCGGGAGAGGCCTTATTTTAGCGCATGCACTCAAAAGCCTGATTGGGCTTATTATCCGGGGAGGTCTTATTTTCAGGGAAACAGGGTAGATACACAGCTCTTGCTCAAGAGATGAAAGCTGTGACAGGGGAGGCCTTTGCATGTGCACGTACACACACACACACACACACACACACACACACACACATTATACCCCAATTGCACCCTTTTTGGGACTCTGAGGTCATAGTCACTCAAGCTTGGTCACATCACATTTGGATTATTGCAACACACTCTACATGGGGTTTCCTGTGAAGACCATATGGAAGTTACAGTTGGTCCAAAATGTGTTGGAATGTGCAGTGATGGTTACTCCTAGGTTTATCAACATTACAATCCACATTAAACTCCTGGCTCCCAGTTTCCTTCCGAGTGCAGTTCAATATGCTGGTCATTACCTTTAACACCATATATGGCATGGGACCAGGTTTTCTGTAGGGCCACCTCTCCCTAAGAACATCTGGCTATCCTTCTATATCAGACAGGGTGGGCACACTTCTTCTACCCTTCTTTAACTATTGCCATCTTACGGAACCTAGGAAATGAGCTTTTTCCATGTCAGTCCCTGCTGTATGGAACATCTTCCCCCTGAAATTTGACAGGGACATCCTTCTCACCTTCCAAAGGGCACTTAAGAGCTGGCTTTTCCCCAAAGCCAAGGGATAGAGTGAAATTGATTAGATGAACTTGTGGGCTGCATGTGAAAGTTTTAGCTATAGGTGCCAAGGTTTAATATACTTTTTTTGTTTCAATATTTTTATTGTAAATGTATGGGTTTTTTTGATGTCAGCTGTCCAGAGTTTGGGCAGCTATATAAATATTTTAAATAAATACATAAAAAATCTTGATTTTAAAATATATTTGTTACCTATAGACCTTAGATGAAAAACCGTATACAAACTTCCCAGTGTAAATCTTGTCAAACTCTCTGATACTTGGCCCTTGCCAATCTCAAGGACTAGAGGACAATTTTCATTCTCCATACTAATTAATTGTTTCTACTAACACAATCATCACTTACTGAAATCCTCAGACAAGGGGGGGAAGCAGGAAATATGTGGGTTGCACAGCTTATGCAAAGAGGCTGTTCAAGGCTAAAAGACCCTTTTATCTGCTAAATGCCAGCTGATAGTCTTGTGTAAGTTGGATTTGGCTGAGAGCCTTCCAGTTTTGCTGCTTTATATTGAGCTGCTGGTTCCGAGTTTCCGTCCTGATTGCCCCGCTCTCTTTCAGAAATGACTCTGCTAACATCTCAACCAACATCACTGGAGTCAGTACCTCCCGCAGCCACCACACCAAACCCAGAACAAAGAATGCTGGAGAAGAGAGCAAAAGTCATTGCTGAACTGTTGCAGACTGAACAGGATTATATCCGAGATCTTGAAATGTGCGTCCAGAAGGTCCTGGTGCCATTACAGGAGGCACAGGTGAGAGTAATGTGTAGCTTTTCACCAGGAATAGAACAAAATTGAATCATAGTGAGCCATTGAGTATAGTGGTTAGAACACTGATTAGCATTTTTGGAGATAATATAATAAATTAAGCCCTTTCTTTCTTTTTCTTTCTTTCTTTCTTCTTTCTTTTTCCTTCCTTTCTTCCTTTCTTTGTCTTCCTTCCTTCCCTTCTTTCTTTCTTTCTTCCTTTCTTTCTTTCTTTCTTTCTTTCTTCTGTCATTATATCTACCATATTTATATAGTTGCCTGTCTCATAGATGTAACGAGGCAATGTACAATAGAAAACAAATAATAAAAAGACACAAACATTAAAAACTTTAATCAAAGCTTATTAGGTAATCCTGAAGCAGATCACATGCAGATTTCAGGAAGAGACAAAAAGTATCAGCATGCTAACTTGAGCTGAATTAATTGTAATTGTATAATTTTGTACAGAAGCAGAGGTCCTGACAGTGGTACTTTCTCTGGAATTTGCAGAGGAAATATTTGCTCCGGAGTTGAAAGGGCCATTTTCAGCTGTTCTTAGTATCCATACCAGCAATGATGATGCTGGTCTGTGTATTTACAGGGTGTTATTCTTGGTGTCAAACAGTATTTATTATTGTTTTATAGCACTGCTTTAAGTTCATGGGGAAAAGGTCACAAGATGAATTTCCATATGAAAATAGGATGCCCCGGAATAAATTGCCCTTTCCTTCCTCCTAGATGCCACATGTAGATTGTGAACTGCTGTTTGGGAACATCTGTGGAGTAATTGCTTTCTCAAAGAAGTTGTTGAGCTCCCTGGAAGCCGCAGATGCTGTTGGTACGTGTTTTACCTATTGGTTCTTGTGATAACAGTGTAACATGGTAACTGAGTTCCATGTACCTCAGCATACAGTCACTGGGTCCCTCAGCTAAGAAACAGAGGTGAGCATCGCCCTCTAGTGTCGGGCATGACTGGACAGGGGAAACGTTTACCTTTACTTGTGGGATATCTGAGCACTAAACTGGAAGGAAGGAGAATGATTAGAGGAGGCAAAGATAGGTCTTGCTTAGGGAGGCATAAGCCAGCCTTCCTCAGCCTTGAATCCTCCAGATGTGCAGTCTGCAATTACCAGAATATGCAGCTGCAAAAGGCTACTGCTAAGAGTTTTAGAGTTCATATTTACACTCAGAATGAAGAAGGCTGATCCAGGGTGCTGATAATTAGCATAGTTTTGCTAATTCTAATTCATTTGTCAAGCGGTGTTTCCCCACAAAAAAATTATAATGATTTTATATAGTATTCTGAATTGGAGGGATTACTTTCATCTCACAGAGCTTTTTTTTTATGTCAGCGCTTGGCTTCCCCCTTCATTAATCTGAGTGCAAGCTAGATTACAGAGCAAACAATAGACATAGAACTTGTCTCTTTTTATAAGGAACCAAGTGTGAACTGGGTAACTTGAGAAAATAAATCAAGCTAGAATAATTTGTGACTTTATATATGGCAGTTGCCCAAGTTTCAGATGAGTTGTATTTTGTCATGTCCAGGATGAGAGAAAAGCAGCATATTTTGTGGTAGAAGCAACCACATCTGGAGTCCTATGTTGACTCTTAAAGTTAAAGAAGATGTTGTCTGGTACAATATTCTTAGATAATATTAATAGTGCTCTTCATTGAACTTAGGGGTTGTTTCCAACCATATCTATTACATCAAGAAATAAAAAGATTGTCTCTTTGCATTTTTCTTTCAGAAATATAAGCATTAATATTTACTAATAATCCACAGTCACTAAAATTCTTAAAATATGATTTCATACAGTACAATAGGGGCACTAAAAATAGAAAAAGGAGTTCATCAGGAGTACATTTTTCTTACTGGAAAGAAAATATGAAAAAAAATGCTAAAATTACTAAAATTTAGTAAAAAAATACTAAAATAAAACACCTGATGAGGTGGCTTAGTGGCTAAGACACTGAGCTTGTCGATCAGAAAGGTCGGCTGTTCGAATTCCTAGTACAGATCTCCTGCGTGAGCAGGCAGTTCGATTAGATGACCTCCAAGGTCCCTTCTAACTCTGTTAATGTTACTTAAAATAATGCTTCTTAAAATTTTTGTAGAAATTGTTTACAAATCTGTGTAGCCTGGAGTATATTTTACAACTGAGATTCTGTGTGATGAAGAATTTCACACAATAATCNTGTGGATCTCAGCACAAGAAGCATCCAAAGGCAAATGGGTGATAGAAAAATTCAGTGAAATATAAGATTAAATCAAGAGAACAACTATAGCAGAAAAATACAGTTATCAATTGTTTTCCCATTTATAGTTATCAGAAAGATTCAAAATGGATAAAAAAGACTTACGGTATGGAGCAAAATTAGGCAGAATTTGAAATATAATTTGAGTCAACCTGTTATGGTCAAATGTTGGGACAACCTGATTTTATTATCTTTTTATGGTGATTATTAAGCACTGTGGTCATTAAGTGGATCGCATTATCAGTTTTGCCTAAAACCAGAAGTAAATGTCGTTGTATTGCCCAATGTCTAAAGTGCGGTCATGAGACCATGGGGATGGGTGACCATCAGAACTTCAGGATTGGGTCACAACTCCCATTTTCCATAACATTTCTTAATGTTAAATGGTCTCTTTATGACCGGTCCTAAGTCAAAGTACCACACGTAGAGAGATGGAAAGATTGGATGCTATCCACCATGGTGGAATAATGAAATTGACAAAACTTGCTATGGCAGACAAACTGAAGATATAAAATATGTAAACTATAATAATAAAATACCATTAATTAAAATATAATTGTATTTTTAACTGTGGTGAAGAATATCAGGAGCTACTTTCTTTGTAACTTTATAATCTTTAATTATTTTTCAGCTCTTTTATTTTCGTATTGCACTTTTCACTTTTTCTATTATTTCTTTCTTTTTGCCTCTCTGTTTTAATTTGGTTTGTATTTGTTCCTGTTATTGTTCTTCAAAGATTTAATAACAATTGTTTTAAAAAATCCCTAAACATTAATTGCTGCACTCAAGCTTTACAGTGACAACTAACCATTGTTCTCAGGATGGTAATGGGATAGTTTTGCATTCTTTTAATGCCCATTCCACAGAGTTTTCTGAAAAAATTAAACAAGGGACTTCCAAGCAGTTTCAGAGCTGAGGTGGTATTCTCTTTAGTGTGTTGCTACGAAAAGAGTATTCATGTCTACACTTTCCCATTCTCTCGAATCTCCCAGACAACAACAGGGTTTCTTTAAGTCTAGACAAGCAGAAGTCAGCCCAAGAATGATCCATCTGTTCCATTCTAGGATAGTAATAAATAAGGATTGTGTTGCTTCCATTGATAAAAATTTATGATATTGTTACACTCCCTGAATTCATTTTTGGAATGAGCAAATAAGGACCATTGAAGGAAGAATTGAACAACCCTAATATTTTGTTATCCTTTCTCGTTTTTATGATTTTTGTTGTTGTTATAATGGATCCATAGCCCAGTTCCATTTAATATGAATTGAAAAATAACTCCTACTGAGTTAAGAATAAATACATCTATTGTATCATATCCTTTCCTCAATTTCCTTTTCTTTGAAAAACTATCATATACAGCACTTAAAATACTTATTGGTTACTTACAGTGTTGCATGGAATGAACAAAATATGGATAGGTGAATATGTTGTTTTTTTAAATTCATTACATTCTACTTGCATTTTGGTAACTGTCAGTCATTAAACTACAATTTTAATTAAAATTAAGGTAAATTATATCTAAGTATATTTAAAAAAATAGTGACATATAGGATGCATCCCATCATTATTGCCTTATAAGTAACACAAGGCAATGAACATACAAAATGCCTTTTCTTCATGTTTTCCCTACAACAACAACCCTGTGAAGTGGGTTGGGCTGAGAGAGCAACTGGCTCAAAGTCACCTAGCCGGTTTTTATGGCCAAGGTAGGACTAGAAGTTTTAGCCTCCTGGTTTCTAGACCAGCTCCTTAACTACTACACCAAACTGGCTCTGGTCAGACTGCATCTATCCAGAGGATTTTAAAGCAATGAAAGAGACATTTCCCACATGAATCTGTATTTTCTATGGTAAATAAGATCAGTGTAAATATGTACTTTGCAATGATTCTCCTTCCTTATGTCAGTGTTGTTAGGAGACCCCTACAACGGGATTTGATCCATCACCGCTTCTTTTTAACTTTTACCTAAAACTACCAGGGGAGGTCATCTGATGGCCTGGGATGCAGTATCATCAATACACTGATGATATCCATACATCTTCAACCCTTGCCAGACAGGTGATGCTCTTGCAGTTCTGGTCGAGTGTCAGGAGCCTGTAAGGGTCTGGGTGTGGAGGAACTGGCTTTGATTCAACCCTGGCAAGATACAACGGCTATGGGGTTTTGACCCTCCAAGCTCAAATGATAGGCTATCTTTGATTTTGGAAGGGATGTTACTCCTCTGGACTGAGCTGGTGCATGATTTGGAGGTCCTACCATGTTTCCACAAAAATAAGACGGTCTTATTTTCTTTTGACCCCCAAAATAAGCACTTGGCCGTATTTTCAGGGAAGTCTTATTATTTTTGAGGTGCAGGAGGTGGCTGCTGCTGTGTTGCAATATTTGGGGGGAGGGCTTCTTTTCGGGAGAGGCCTTATTTTAGCGCATGCACTCAAAAGCCTGATTGGGCTTATTATCCGGGGAGGTCTTATTTTCAGGGAAACAGGGTAGATACACAGCTCTTGCTCAAGAGATGAAAGCTGTGACAGGGGAGGCCTTTGCATGTGCACGTACACACACACACACACACACACACACACACACACACATTATACCCCAATTGCACCCTTTTTGGGACTCTGAGGTCATAGTCACTCAAGCTTGGTCACATCACATTTGGATTATTGCAACACACTCTACATGGGGTTTCCTGTGAAGACCATATGGAAGTTACAGTTGGTCCAAAATGTGTTGGAATGTGCAGTGATGGTTACTCCTAGGTTTATCAACATTACAATCCACATTAAACTCCTGGCTCCCAGTTTCCTTCCGAGTGCAGTTCAATATGCTGGTCATTACCTTTAACACCATATATGGCATGGGACCAGGTTTTCTGTAGGGCCACCTCTCCCTAAGAACATCTGGCTATCCTTCTATATCAGACAGGGTGGGCACACTTCTTCTACCCTTCTTTAACTATTGCCATCTTACGGAACCTAGGAAATGAGCTTTTTCCATGTCAGTCCCTGCTGTATGGAACATCTTCCCCCTGAAATTTGACAGGGACATCCTTCTCACCTTCCAAAGGGCACTTAAGAGCTGGCTTTTCCCCAAAGCCAAGGGATAGAGTGAAATTGATTAGATGAACTTGTGGGCTGCATGTGAAAGTTTTAGCTATAGGTGCCAAGGTTTAATATACTTTTTTTGTTTCAATATTTTTATTGTAAATGTATGGGTTTTTTTGATGTCAGCTGTCCAGAGTTTGGGCAGCTATATAAATATTTTAAATAAATACATAAAAAATCTTGATTTTAAAATATATTTGTTACCTATAGACCTTAGATGAAAAACCGTATACAAACTTCCCAGTGTAAATCTTGTCAAACTCTCTGATACTTGGCCCTTGCCAATCTCAAGGACTAGAGGACAATTTTCATTCTCCATACTAATTAATTGTTTCTACTAACACAATCATCACTTACTGAAATCCTCAGACAAGGGGGGGAAGCAGGAAATATGTGGGTTGCACAGCTTATGCAAAGAGGCTGTTCAAGGCTAAAAGACCCTTTTATCTGCTAAATGCCAGCTGATAGTCTT